GCTCAGCCGGCTGCTTGTCCCCGCAGGTTCCCTGTCGTCGCTTCCAAAGGGAAACCCCACAATGTCCGGAGGTCTCGATGTCCTGCAGATGAAGGAGGAGGATGTCCTCAAGTTCCTCGCTGCCGGGACCCATCTGGGAGGCACCAACCTTGACTTCCAGATGGAGCAGTATATCTACAAAAGGAAAAGCGATGGTAAACCCCTGGGGCGAGGGTCCTGGGTGGGCAGCAGGGATTCTGCGGGCACAGCTGAGGAAAGCAGGAAGGTGCTAATGCTGGAGCAGCTCTCTAGCAGTTTCACCAGGGCCCGAAAGGTGCAGACGTTCTTCAGAGACTGAATCATGTTGCTGGGAGAAGTAGGGTGAAGTATGGATTTTGGAACTTGGTAAATCAATCGCAGTTGGATTTGGGCTCTTATACTAGTTCTTGATTGAGAGTTCATACCTCTCCTACAAGGGACAAGCTGAGAGAGTTGGGGCTCTTCAGCCTGGAGAAGAGAAGGCTCTGGGGAGATCTTACAGCGGCCTCCCAGTACCTGAAGGGGCTACAAGAAAGCTGGGGAGGGACTTTTCATAAGGGCAGTTAATGACAAAACAAGGGGAAATGGCTTTAAACTGGAAGAGAGGAGGTTTAGATATTAGGAAGAAGTTCTTCACTGTGAGGGTGGTCAGACACTGGAACAAGTTGCCCAGAGAAGCTGTGGCTGCCCCCTCCCTGGAAGTGTTCAAGGCCAGGTTGGATGAGGCTTTGAGCAACCTGGTCTAGTGGAAGGTGTCCCTGCTGATGGCAGGGGGGTTGGAACTGGATGATCTTTAAGGTCCCTTCCAACCCAAACCATTCTATGATTTTAGTAACAAAATGGTTTTAATGTCTCAATAGTGATTTCTGCTGCTTGTTTGCATTGTTCTTCAGTCAGAGCTGCACCCTATTAAAAGATTGAAGCTCATAGCAGGCCCTGGTTCACGTTGATCAGTGCTGGAAGTGTGCTACATTAAAACCACATGGGAGGCTTTTCCTTGGAATAGCTTGCCACTGACTAGAATTTTAGAGTAACCACAGCCACGTGGCAAGTTTAATGCTAGAAGAGTGCTGTTATCTTTTAGACTCTTGTATTTGCTGGTTGTTCTAAAGCCTATTGTCACCAAAAGGTATTTACATCATCAATCTGAAGAGGACCTGGGAAAAGCTCCTCCTGGCAGCCCGTGCCATTGTTGCCATTGAGAACCCAGCTGATGTCAGCGTCATTTCTTCTAGAAATACTGGGCAGGTACGGACGTTTGTTGGTCATGAGGCCTGCAGTCTTGGGAGCTGGACTCTTGCCATGCATCACTGCCTGCCGGTGGCAGCTTGCTGATAAAAGGAAGTAACACAGATGTTGGCTCTAGGAACACTTTTTGGAAGCGTGTTTCTTGTGTTGCACACGCAGCTTAGAAGAGATGAGTTGAAACCCACTCCCCTGTTCTGTAGTTTCAGGGCACTTGGTAACTTGGGTTTGTTTCATATCCTCCTTTGGGTACTTCCTGTTGGATTTCTGGCACATTAGTGGTCAATATCTCCCCCAATAATCGTGTCAGTCATTGTCACTGCTTTTTGGGGATAATAAGTGACTGATACAGAAGTTTTCAAAGAAATAATTTGCTCTCATTGAGGAAGTTATAGTAAGTATATTTTTAATTTTGTCTCTAGATTTTTAGCAAAAAAATTCTGGTGCAGAAGGGGACGCAACCTTTAAATGTAATTAGTCCTTGAGGTTTATCTGTCAGCTCAGTTTCTTTGGAGTAACGCGGGTGGTGCCACAAACACATGGGAAGATTATGGATGATGTGTGTGGGGTGGATTTCCAAAGGAATAACTTGGGTTCCTACAGACTTGACCTGCACACTGTTAAAGCTTGATGCTGAGGTCAGTTTCTGGCCGATGAGCTCTCAAGTGTCAAGTGTCGGAAGTGTGCGACAGCAAACCTGCTGGCAGGGTTTTCGCTAACGCCAGGAGAGGAGCAGCCTCTGTGAATGGAGTTTGATAGTAGGCCCTGCCACATGCCCAACTGCCTGATGCCTGAGAAAAAAGCTGTTGTGCAAGGGAGTGAGAGCTGCCCACCTCAGTTTTAGTGAGCACAGCTACAGCTTGTGTGTATTTACTACAGAGCTTTTCCTGTAGTTCCTGAAGTTACGCTGCTGGATAACGAAAGGATGTAGAAATAATGGAAGAAAATTTGCTTTACTTTATTCATAAACTGTTTGTTTTGTCCTCCTGTTAATTATTTGATTATGAGACTTTGGAGTAGAGCTTGCAGCTAAGTTCAGGACAAAAAGGGGTTTTTTTCTGTATCCCAGCTTCTTACATAGGTATGTAAGAATCCTGACATCTTTGTAATTTTAAAGCAGCTATCACTTACTCTAAAGAGTCACATCCATCATATGTGGATATGATCTTTTTAGCCCCTGCTGTTGGTGTAGGTATTTTTAAAAGCATTTTATTTTGGCTCATGCTCATGCAGAAGCTGTTGGTGAGGAATTGAAACAAAGAGTTGAGTTAAATTAAATTTGGTGTGTGTTCCCCACCTGGGTGCCTCGGTTGAAAAGCAGTTTCCCTGCTTCACCTTTGCTGTGGTCCCTTTTGCAGCGTGCTGTTCTGAAGTTTGCTGCTGCTACTGGGGCCACTCCTATCGCTGGACGTTTCACCCCTGGTACCTTCACAAATCAGATCCAAGCGGCTTTCCGTGAGCCACGACTCCTGGTTGTTACAGACCCTCGGGCTGATCATCAGCCGCTGACAGAGGCATCTTACGTCAACATCCCCACCATTGCGCTGTGCAACACCGACTCCCCGCTGCGCTACGTGGATATTGCCATTCCCTGCAACAATAAGGTAATGGCTTTGCTCCAGCGCTGAAACCTGCTTCCTCCAGAGCATGCCCTACCTTGCAAGGTGGATGCTTTCTGCAGGGGAGGGTTGGCTTGCATCTCACATGTCTTCTGAGCTAATTAAGGCCTCTAGCAGGCTGGTGGGGAGGAGGAGATGAGCCGCACACAGTTGGAGCTTGGAGCTGAGGCCAGTTTCTGGCCAAGGAACTCTCAAGTGTAGGACGTGTGCTATAGTAACCTGGCAGGACTTTTCGCTGACGCCATGAGGGTCTTTGTGGCCCGATGAGTGGAGTTTGATAGTCATTCTTGCCACAGTTTATGAATGAAAGATGAAATGAACTGATGAAGAAACTGCTCTGAAGTGTTTCCTTGCCAGAAACCACCTGAAAGGTAAAGTCTAGGGAGATGGGAAACTATTCTTTCTTCTGTAGCTAGATGTTGTCATTCACCAAAACTAATGTGAGCTGAATCTGGGCACGTGTATAAGATGTTCTCATTTGGTCAAGTTCTCTATTTCTTCATTCTAGTGTATGTGGTGTGAGCATAATGCATCTTTTGGACAAGATTTATGTGGGGTAGTGAGCAGTTTGAAACTCTGTAGCAGGAGAATTGCTTCAAGTTATGCTCTCTACAGCAAATTCAGATGCTGGTGATTGAAGTGCGCTGTGATTTCTGCAGAGACCTGAAAATGTCACTGGGAACTCAAAAAGTTGCCCTTTCCTGGGTCCAAGTACCTAAGTTTGGGCATTAGCAAGTGATGCCTTTCTCTTGCCAAGCAAGAACCTTGGATTGAGTGCACATAAGTCTTTGCTCTTTTAAAGAAAAAAGGTGTTTTCAAAGGTTTAGCTTTGCAGGAAATGTTAAATTTTTTCTTCTGTTCCAGGGAGCCCATTCGGTGGGTCTGATGTGGTGGATGTTGGCTCGGGAGGTCCTGCGCATGCGTGGCACCATCTCCCGTGAGCACCCGTGGGAAGTCATGCCTGACTTGTACTTCTACAGGGATCCTGAGGAGGTAGGAGACCTGTGTGAGATGTCCTGCTTGTGCTCCTGCCCCATGGTCCTGTGTGCCTGCTGCCGGGGACGGGTTTTGCCAATGCCATAGTTGCATTTCGTGTTTAAGGTGGTGGTTAATTAGTCTTGTCTGTTGATGGCTGGTGTGTATTGTCCGGTGTGTGAGGGTGGTGAGGTGTTTCTGGGAGACTTAGGCTGTGCTCTTCCATTGCAGATTGAAAAGGAGGAGCAGGCTGCTGCTGAGAAAGCAGTTACGAAGGAGGAGTTCCAGACGGAATGGACGGCCCCAGCTCCCGAATTCACTGCTCCCCCTCAGCCCGAGGTTGCAGATTGGTCTGAGGGAGTGCAGGTCCCCTCGGTGCCCATCCAGCAGTTCCCCACAGGTCAGTTTGGGGGATGTCTGTGGGCAGTGGGGTGCGGTAGTGGGTGGGAAGAGCTGGGACACACACTCAGCGTTGTTGTCTTTGTAATTGCAGAGGACTGGAGTGCCCAGCCTGCCACCGAGGACTGGTCAGCAGCTCCCACGGCCCAGGCTACGGAGTGGGTTGGCACTGCCACGGAGTGGTCTTAACTTCAGTCCCGCTGTACTGCCAGAGAATAAAGGCTGGTTTAACACACACCCTGCTTGGTGCTGCTTTTTTTGAACTGGTTGGCAGGTGGAACACGTGGGTAGTGTGGGAGGGTCTGTAAACTGCTGCCTGCCCACCCTCCTTCCCTCCATGCTGTGGGGTGGTGGGCGGGGGAGTCTCTGCTTGCCCTGAGCAGGGTGAGTGGTTGCCCCTGCCCGGGGTGTTGGCAGCTGCGGGATGGGGCAGTCCCAGGTGCGGGTGGGAGCGGTGGAGAGCCCTTGAGTGGGAGCTGCTGCTGTGGTGAAACACCGGTTCTAGTATCTGTGCTACTGATTCCTTCCTCAAAAATACTGCAGTACTCCTCATTAAAAAATTAATTAATCTTCTTTAACTGTTTTGAGGATTATATTAATTTCTGTGATTCATAGCCATAGTGGAAGGCAGGCCCTTCACCAAGAGAAATGAGGATTTTGTTTGAGAAGTGTAGAGATCAGATCCCTTTTGCCATGTTGCTGTGGTCTCACTATTTTTCTAACTTCAGCCATGACAATCACCCTGTAAAGAATGTATTAAATTGTTTTCCCTTAGCACACGTGCTTATTTGCTTTTACCATAAGATGCACGTTAACAGTAAAAAACCTAAAGCAGGCTGTGTATATTACTGCACAATATTGCACAAAGGAAGCTGGTCTTTTTTCCTGTTGTCTTTATTAGATATTGTTAATTACTAACAGCTTGTAGCTGAGAGGCATGTGAGCACTTTACTGCTTGGCCCTGAAAGGGCCCTTCCCGTTCCGTTGGTGCGCTGTGTTTGTGGCTGTGTGTTTCTGGCACATCCTCCAGCCCTCTGCTGTCCAGCGCCCAGCAGTGGGAGGCTCCTTCCTGCTGCCCCAGGGCTGTCCCTGCGTGTCACAGTGGGGTGAGAGCCTGTTCCTTTTGGGACCTTGGGTGGGTGCCATGGCTGGACCAGGGACAGTCTGTACAGCAGCTGCTGATGTGCTCCCCAGCTCTGAGACTGCCCAAAGTCACTTGCTGCCCTGGTCTGGTCCTTTCACCTTTCCACACTAAAAGGGACCTTATTAATGTTTATAAATGTCTAAAGGGCGGGTGTCAAGAGGATGGGGACAGACTCTTTTCAGTGGTGGCCAGCGATAGGACAAGGGGCAATGGGCACAAGCTGGAACACAGGAGGTTCCACTTAAACATGAGGAAACACTTCTTTACTGTGAGGGTGACAGAGCCCTGGGACAGGCTGCCCAGAGAGAGTGTGGAGTCTCCATCTCTGGAGATGTTCAAACCCACCTGGATGCCTTCCTGTGCAACTTGCTCTAGATGTACTTGCTTTGGCAGGGGGGTTGGACTAGGCGATTTCCAGAGGTCCCTTCCAACCCCACCATTCTGTGATTCTGTGCAAAGTTTCCAAACTCAGAGCACAGGCTTTACCCCTCTGCACTTTGAATCACAGCTATTGCTCTTCTATCATCATTGCCCCTTTCTTTTATCTGCTTTGTAACCTCCTTCATGTGGATATGTTACAGATACGGAGAATATGGTGGTCATCAGGCAACTCCTGTGTAGGTGATGGGGCTGTTTTAAATCAGCCATAGCTGCATCTGGGTACTTGTAACTGAAATATTTCTGGCATGTTACTGAAATGGGATTGTTTTCACCTAAGGACATCCTAAAGTAGCACTTTAACTTTTTCTGGACAAAGGGCTGCCACTGAGAGGTGGATCCGTCCACGCAGCTTGGGAAAAAGAGTGCCAGGGCCAGATCTCTGCACGTGGATGCAGAATTACGTCTTTGGGACAAGTGAGGTGGGGTGGGAGAGCTCATTTGGCTGGAGCTCTGCAGAGGGCATGGCTGGCAGCCCTTTAGAAAAGAAGGCAGCCTTGCCTGCAGCAGCAGAGGCCACATTGCAGGAAGGCTGCATTCCTCAGTCTGCTGGGGCACAGGGGAGTTGAGATCTCAGCATGGGGGTGGAGGCAGCAGTGGAGAGGTGGGAGATCTTATATCTACCAGAGCTTCCCCTGTGGCAAATACCTTCTGTATATGATCTACTGAGTCAGTGCGGAGGGATAGGAAGAGGAGCTAGGACTTCCTAGATTCTATGGCTTGTTTATTATTGCAGTTTTTTCTGGCAAATGTAGTGTTGGTGTTGATGTTGAAAAAGGACAGCAGAGAACTTGTAACCATGTTCTGGATTTATCTGATTTGACCCAAGATAGCTTAGGCCGAGGCCTCCATGTAGTGAAAACAATTTCTTGCCCTTAAGGGAACACTCCAGACCTTCTCTCCATGACCTCGTTGCATTTGATTTCAGTTGATTGAACTGAGCTAGATATGCTTCTTAGGCTAGTCTTTGTCTTCCATATTTGGTCTCAACAGAAGCTAGCTGATATTGCTGAGCATCACAGAATCCCTCTGGAGAAATGAGCTGTTGAAGAGTCCTCTTTGCCAGTATCTGATCAATAAATCTCATGCATGAGATACATGCTCTCCAATTTCCTCCCTAATTTATATGCCCCTGTTCACAGATGTTCCTTTTCCTCTCCAGTCATTTCTTTGCCCACATAAATCACATGATATTTTTGCT